GATCAATCTAAAACAAGCCTCTGTTTTTCAGCTTTGGTCAAAACTGTCGGCCAGAAAGGCTTTGATGTGGCCACTTAGTTCAGGACGATACTCTAGTTCACCACATGAGTCTAAACCAATACCTCAACGCTCCTCCTAACCAGACCCGGCGGCAGACATACATCTCTGGGCGGGCATTTGATTTACCAGGGCGGGCCCCACGAACACTTACATTTCCCAGGAAATCTGAATTGTCAACGGGGGGGGGGGGAGGGAGGCGCTCGTGAATTGTTGAAAGAGAGGGGTTTTAGGTTGCCATAAGGCTGTTGACGGTCTTATGTATCCATTGGTTGGTTTTGTGGCACATTTGTAACGCTGTGCCAACTTGGGCAAGCACCAGGCAAACTTGAGCGCACACAGGGTGGAGAGGTGGAGTGAGGTTGAGCGATGGGGAGAAAGGGAGAGAGAGAGAGATTGACCGAGGCAGAGAGCCTGTGCAGCGGTCTGCTTGCGCACTGAGCAGGAGTTTGTGAGAGAGCCGGCTTGAGAGTACATTTCTCTTCAAAATATAATTGATTGCCAGCTGACTTGCTTGCTCGTTGGTAACGTAGGCCTAACTGATTTATTCTAATGTGCCTGCATCTGGCGCTGAGTTGCCATATTCCTTTCGTGAACCACTAGCAAGAGTAAACTAACTGACAGGCTGCTGTGCCGCATCTCACTCAAAAACCCACACGACTCAACCCAGCGAAAAACCAGTCTTGCGCGCAGCCTTTCATTCAGAATTTCCTAGCAAAATAAAAAAAATGATATTAAACTAATACAAAAATAAATATTAGGACAAAGCCCTACAAATAACAACAATAAACATAATAATAAAACAATAAAAATGTGGTATTCAGCCCTTATTAAAACAGCGGGCCCAAATCCTGGATGGGCGGGCCCGGCCCCATGGGGCCCGCCCATGACGCCGGGTCTGCTCCTAACACAAACCATATAGCAGTTTCAACTCCAAACCAAGGTCTTCCCTGGAACTCACCAAGTAAACTGCACCACTGAGAAGTGTTTGTTCTCTCTCAGACTTTATAAGGAGCCGGAAATACTCAATCATCAAGACAAAATAATGCATGGTAATGGATGTCAGCAGTGGCCAAGAAGAAATGGTTGCATGTATTTTGCATCTATGGACAAATACAGCAGAATTGTTTATATTTGCAGCTGATATCTGATTTGGTGGTCCGTTTTTTCACATCTAAATTATTCTTTTGTATGTTTGATTTTCTTTTCTTTTAGGTCTTTGGTGGTTGCATTGATGTAAACATGTCGCAATGAATATGAGACATCGTCAATCACTCTGTTGCCATAGTTTCCAAGAGAAAAATTATCTTAGTGTTCAAACCTCAACTGATGCAAATCAGATATTAAATATATTTTTAAAAACATCATAGGGCCGTTTTGTCGATGAAAAGTTTGTTTCTTGGATGAAACGTTTATATTTCACATCTTTAAAGGAGTGAGAGGATTGGTTGCTACAGAAAAACATATCAAAGTCAAGGGAATTGGCAGCAGAATCAAAGTACCAAACTATTTCTATTCTTCTCGCTGAGGAGAGTTCATGACACAAACTCATCCACGAGTGACAATATTTCTCAACACAGAGCGAGACCACTCCAGGCTGAAGGCACAAAGCAGACCCCTCGCAGCTGGTCACCGTGTCGAGGTCAAATTGTGAACAACCGCTGTATAATCTTCAAGAAAGCCTCTGGATAAACAGTGGAAACATTTTTATAACCTCTCTTAACCTTTAAGTTCAGCTGGAGTCTCATTGACCGTGTTTCTAGAGGGGGCCGGGCGGGGGGGTTGACGGGACCTCTGCTGTATGTGTCTATTCCTGTGTAGTGTCTTGTGTTTGGATTTGTGAGCATGTGTGTGTGTGTGCGACCGTGCTCTTCAGAGAACTGCTTTTATCTCAGAAGTGACTAATGTTGGATTGAGCTCAAAAGACGTCCTGTAACAATTGTACGCTTGAATAAATAGTTTTGCATAATCATAAAGTTACCCATTTCATTGAGCCTATCTAATGTAGCATATCTCTAAAGATTGAATAACTAAATGATATGAGTTGGTGGCCTTCAGGGGTACAGAGAGCACTATAATATATCGCTCATTATCAATAATAAAATATTGTTACTTGACATTTCATATGACAAATGGTAATTTCTACGTGTGTGATGGAAAGCTACTTATGTCAACTCAGTCACATTTAAACACTGAGGTTTACTGGGAAAGAGGAACTAAAGCTGAAAGGTTGACAAGGGTGGAGACAGAAATTACAAATATAAGGAAATGGGGCCATTTAAAGGGAATGATGATGATGATGATGATGATGAAGAAAGAATGCCAAAGAGGCGAAGAGGTCAGAAATAAAGTAGTCGTAACTCTCCTAACAATAAAAGCCTAAAACTATCAGAAGGCAGATTACCGTTAACATTTATGAATTTGACAGGGTCAAACCGGAGTTTATTTCTGGCTACAAAACCCATTAAACATCATAGTGGTCTTAATGATGTGGTTGATGAACAGTTTCTTACTGTTAGAAAGCCAAGTTGTAGGGTGAGTGTTTAGGTTTGACTGGCAGAAATGTTTTTGGCCTGTGTTTCGAAAAGTCGCAGCGTTGCCCTGTTACACACAGGTGTTTGCCCTTGGTGAGTTCTTACAAAATGTTGATAGCGGAAAATGTTCATGCTTTTTAAATTAAGTGCTGTTAGTGCTTTGGTTTATAAAACTTTAAAAACATAAATCCATGATTAGGATGGGCTGAGATCCAGTCGGCACAAGAAGTGAGAATAACAGTTTAACACTCTTAGAAAAAAGAGAAAAAACGCAAGGCGGCAATAAGGCAAAGTGTTGAATGCAAGTTTTAAGAGAATTGCACAGTGGGTCATGCACCAGACCTTTAAGCCTTCGCCTATGTGTGTATGCCTGACTGTGTGTGTGTGTGTGTGTTAATCACAAAAACCTGATGAATGGGTGTGTGTTACAAGCTCCAGTCCTGTTTTGCTCCCTCTCCCCGCCATAAACTCTGTTGTTGCAATCTAAGCCTTTTGTTGCAGCCTGGCCTTTTAACTCGCAGGCAGACGGGCTGCTCCTGGTAACTAGCAAAGGGGCCATAAAAGAGCCCTGTTCTTTGGTTTTGGACAAACCACATCAAACAGGAGAGGGAAAAGGGTTTGAACAGGTGGACCGGCATTTAGCGCAGTATGGACAGATCATAATTTGACGGATCACAGCACAGAACCGTCAGCTGTGTGTGTAGTGAGATGGAACATTCTGAACCTGATAGATGTTGTGTTGTGGTACACGTCCGTGTGAGTAATGGACTTCACATAATGAGCCAACATGATGCACTGTGAGCCTGGAAAATCTACTTGAAGTTTAAAGGTTTAACAAGCCTTCACTGACCAAATAAAGGAGCCGTGGCGATGGATTAATGACTTACAAAAATAAACATAAATCAAAAACAGCAACATGCGTAGAAGAGAATATTTTTCTTTAAAAGCAAGACGTCAAGTTCATTTTAATGCCATTTTGAAACATTTCAAAATGCAAAACAGTCTCTTTACTATTGCAATGAGAAATGGAGAAACAATAGGTGACTACAATGACAGATTAGTAGCAAGGTCAAATTAGTGAGCGCAAAATAAAAAGATATCTTAAAATATAGAGGGTTATGAGGACGAGCGAGGGGGAATAAGGGCACATAAGGAGCGTTTGGTAAGAAGACGGGCTAATATTAAGTTTAAAGAGAAATGTGGATAACGGGAATAATCTATAAAGTTCCGAATTGAATGTCCGTCTTCATTATTTCATAGTGACCTTATTGCTTCTGTGTATCCAGTACAATACCTCTTTATAGAATTGATTCAATTGTATTTGCAGCATATCATGTCATAAGGTTGTCTATAAAACATGACTTGAACAGGAAGCTGTCTCATATTGTCATTTTGAAATATCAGCAGTGAGTAATAAACCAGCAGAGATACTGTGCATGGACTTTCCCCGTTTCTCACTTCATCCGTCCAACTATTCCTGCAACAAGGCTCCACTCCCCTTTAGCTAATCCTCTCAAACCCCTGATAGTTTTACGGCTTGGTGTAACTGGCTTCAGGATGAGAGAAGAAAGGGCCGGCAACCACAGCTTAAACCAGTAATTGGTTCAGGCTTGAAAACTGATACGGACGCCTTGACCTCTTGCCAACCTGGCAGCCAGAATCCCTCTCGCTCCGTCCTGTCCGTGTGCCCGCCCGCCTGAGCTCCCCTGGTCAGAAAAACAAACATAGGACGGAGAAATGTTTTTTCCTGGCTTACACCTCGGTCCCAGGGCACGCAGCCCACAAGCTAACCAGCAAATAAACGGGGGGCAAGAGGCCGGTCTGAGGTCTGACTGTCACACAGTAAAAAAAAGAAAAGAGAGACAAGACTGGGGTTCACTTGTGCAAAGGAAACTGAGATAATCCAGGTTTCTCCTGCAGTATTTCTAAGCACTTTTGCAACATTTGAGATCCTAATTAAGAGTGATGCATGAAGACTTACATTACAAGATCACATTTGTAATTGATTCTAATAGTAATATACTAACTAGGTGGTGTTTCAGTTTCCTTCATCTCCCAAACAATGTCCATATTTCTTCGTAAAGGCCATACAATTCAGCATTAATGCAGAGGGGTTGATCGATTATTAAACAAATGGAAAAATACTTGGATTCAGCTTATTATTTTTTTGGTGTGTTTTTTTTAAATAGTCTGGTATGTATCACTTGTCTTTGCGTTGTGTACTGATCAAACATAACAAGCATAACAAGATGCCTGGAAAAATGTTGTAGGCATTAATAATGAAGTAATCACTAGTTTTTGCACTATTCATGCGTTGGGTTTCAGCTAAATGTAAGCTGAACAGAAAGGAGACCACAATGGACATGAATAAAGTTCTGACATGTTTGTTCTCTGTCCCCCCTACACCAGGTATGCTGGAGATCAAGTCAGTGGATGTGGGAGTCGTGGCCATCAGGGGCCTCAGCAGCAACTACTACCTGGCAATCAGCAAGAAGGGAGAGCTATACGGAGCGGTGAGTAGCTTCAGTACCTCTACAACAACCTAATCAAAGTTCTTGCAAAAGAGACGTTTTTCACCCTGAATCGGAAAACCCTGCAGCTTTGATTTTCTTAAATGATTACTAAAACAAGGCTGCAGGGCTCTCTCACTTCCAGAAATAGGAACCACCGTCAGTCAATGAGAGCCCTCCTCTCTGCTACCTTGCTTAGCTCTCCACTCCATTCAGAAATAGGAAACACAATCCTTCAGTTTCTCTTTTCTGCTTCAGTCCCTCTGGGGAGAGCAGCCCTTGTTTCATCTGTTTTCTCCCTCTCCCTCCTTTTCTTCATCTCATTCTCTCCCTGCTTTTTTCTCTCCTTTGCTTGCTTTGAAAGAGCCAACTTTCAGCGTGTCTCTATGGGAGCCACACCACAGATGTAATGACACACGGTAGAAAGAGACAGAGAGGCATTCTGTTGCATGGCCTGAAACTGAATTCCCATGACGTCTTCTGCTCGCTGCAACATAAGCCATAGTAGAGCGGCAGCGAAGGCCCGGCGTTCGATTACACTTGATGGGTTTACACAGTGCCTTCTTTATCCGGTCGTAATCAAATGAAATCATTGTTTCATTTCATCCCCAGGTTAATGCGCAGCAGGGATATATACATGATTATGATTGCCTTTAAGTATAACCATGATTCAATTTGTATCGTAATATAATTCTTAAAAACACCAATGATGACGGACAGATGAATTCACTGTGGTCTGTGCAAAATTAATCGTGCTCAACAGTTATTGCTCTATTAAATTGGTGAAAAGGTACTGACGATATTTGTTATGAATTCATAACTACACAGTTTATCTGTTTTAATCCACCATTTTAGTGGAAAGACGATCAGCACGCAGACACACACACATTGTTTGGTCGTACTTAGCACCAGCGCACGTTAAAAAGCTGCACAGTGTCTGTAAGATATTTTAATTTTGCTTTGGGAACATTCAGTTTTACTTCTGGAACCAATTTAAACAGCTGTGGCCAGATTACAG